TATGTAGAAGACAAATGAAAACTCATAATCCACATGTCAAAACTCACTACTATTGAACTCACACCGAAGTCTCTAAAGGAGATGAAGGAAAGAAGAAGTTTCAATAAACCAGGAGAATAAGGTGCATAATGGCAATGTTGAGAAGTGATCTATAAATATTGACTGGGAATGCAAACTCTTCAAATAAGAGTTTAAATGCCTGAATGACTAAAACCCTCAGGCCAAAGGATAATTTGATTCCAGAAAAAGCCAATTCACTATCAGTGATCTTCAATGAGCGTAAGCAAGGAATGTAAGCAGACCCAGAGAAATACAAGTTGCATGTTTTCTCTGAGTATAGTAGCTAGAATGTAGCAATAAATCTACAAGTAAACAAACCAAATGGTAAAAACAAAACAACAAAAATCAACACTTGTACATGATAAATTATACAGGTCTCTAGGCATCTCCCCCCAGTGAGAACAAAGGAGAATATACTCAAGAGAGGAACACAAAAGTGTAATACCTGTGTGCATCTGATAATATAAAATAATATTTGGTAAAAAGAACTAATGGAAAATGGAACAAGAGGGTTATATTCTTTGTTGCTGTTTTGTGAGCATAGAGTCACAGAATTGGTCGAACAGATGTTGAACAATGGAGCAGTGCTACTCACTAGGCACAATGTTGAAAATAAACTATAGACCTAGTGGGTGCAGATGAGAGGGAAATATAGTGAGGGAAGGGGTGACATTGTTAGAAAAGAAATGTTCTCTTCATCTTACTTTCTGTACATCATCCCTATAATAGCAATACATGTACATCAACAGGGGGAAAAATGAATGAAATAGGGCAATCCAAGCAAATTAAAGAGAAAAGAAAGCAAAAATATCCATAACATCATATCAAATAGATCTTAATTAAAGCAATTACATGTGCCAACTTTGTAATGCAATGATGAAGCAATGATCAACAAAATGACATAACAATTGTAAATGTATACTAACACATGATCAAAACACTTAACCCTATGTAAGCAGACATTGATGTAGTTCCCAACACACTAAAAGCCGCAGATTTTCTGGAGAGACCCTCCTGACCAAGTCAACATGGAGGTATCAGAATTAAATTTCACCCATAATTAGATGAACCTCATATACACCTACAGAACTTTTCACCCAATGTCTGAATAAACCATATATCATCAACATATTGACCATTTTCCAGGAGAGATTATGGGATAGATAGGACACAAAACAACCAGATTTTAACATTATGGAAAGTACATTGGGAACACCTGCAAATCAAACTGTGGTAAGGCTGGAAATTAACAAGGAAATTATAAAAAATATTCCCATAACATTGAAATGAAATGAATTCTTTTTCAATCAGAAATAAAGCCTTTAATTTAATTAATATTTAATTTCACTTAATTCAAATTATTTAATATAATTAAATGATTAATGCATGATTAAATGACTTATTTCTCAAGGAAAATTTCAAGAAGTTTACTGATTTTTGGAACAAATATAAATGAAAACAGAATATCAGAATCTATACATATAGAAAAAGATCAATGAAATGAAACTGTGACAACCTTTTCTGAAATCAGGAATAGAGATGCTGTATTAAAGAACATATGCTGCTGCTCAAGGAATTAGAAAAAAAAACAAAATTAGTAGAAGGAATGAAATAATCAAGTAGAAAAAAAGAAGTAGAGACTAAAAACACAATAGCAATAATCAATAAAAGAAAAAGGATGTTCTTAAAAAACAATAGGGTGGTAAAACTGAAGGAAAATCATTAAATATAAAGTGTTTAAAACATTAAATTTCCCATATGAACCCACACCTCACATTATTCTGTATGCCAGAAACAGTATGGTGAAAATAGCTGTATTACTGAAAAACTATCTATAGAAGATTCAGTCCAGTGTATACAAAAATACCTATTATTTCCTTCATAGAAATAGAAAAGGCAAAACTGAATTTTATGAAAAAGGAAATCCTTCATTAGCCAGAGCTATTTTAACACAAGAACAGCACAAAAACATCCATATATCTGTTCTTTACTTATACTGCATAACCATAATAGCAGAAAATATTCTGATAAAAACAGACACATGGGTCAAAGTAATTGCAAACAATAGATATCTGATTCTTGGAGAAGATGTCAAATAACATATGGCTCAAACATGACACCCTTAGCATTGTGAAGTTGGGCATGCATGTGTGAAACACTCAAACTAGACAATATATTTTTTAATCTCAACGTTGATTAGTTCTTAATAGAGACTTGAACTTTGCAAGTAATCGTGAAAATGAGAGGAAATATAAATATGCAGGTAACATAAAAGTCAATAGTTCATAAAGCTATAGGAATAATTATGCTCTGGTGTGATTAAATGGTAGAATCCTTTTCCTTACTGGAAAAGTCACAACTTCCAACCCAAGCACTGGAAATATAAAGTAATTGTGCTTGTATCCAATTGAAAAGTTTCAGCACAATGAAAGAAATGGTGGGACAGGTCTTGCTAGCTATACATCTCACAGAGGATGAATAATGTATTGGAAGACAATTCTAAAAATTAAATACTAGAATAGAAAAAATCCAATCAAGCAACAGACACTTAAAAATTAGAAATAGAGGTAGAGCACTCACCTTGAGCTGAAGAGCTGAGGGTCAGCACCCAGGCCCAGAGTTCAGGCCCCATGACCAGATCCAAACCCCCCCCAAAAAAAAATTAGAAATAGAAAATCACAACAGAAAATATGATATTCAATCATTTGAGTATTCAGGATACCCATTATTTATTCATTAACCCAGAGAAAAATTACAGTCTTGGTAATGGTATATAAAATTAAAGTTTGGATAATATTCAAGAAATCCAATTTATCTCAACGAGTGGCTTAGACCTGCAATCCATGCTAAACAATAAGCCGACAGCTAAGGATCCTGAGTCAAAGCAAGCTGTCACAGAAAAGTCCGTGGCACATTTTATCTCCAGTCAACCAACGTTAGTTAAAAGTAGAGGTATAGTGGTAGTGGTAGAGTATCAGCTTTGAGATAAAAATACATGTAAGAGCCCAAATAAAACCATTTACCATTGGCTTAATCCAAGCTAACTTAGAAAAGTGAAAAACAGTAGAATAAATAACAGATATGGGAGAGAAAAATTATCTGTGACAGGATATAGAAATGGTTATAAAACAGTGAGTGAATAAACTCAAAGTATGTGACATGCAGTGTGGAACTGAAACATGAACCAGTCACTTGGCATAAGGACAATGTTGTATCAAAATTGGCAAAAATAAGCTAATATCAGTAGGCATAGACGAGAGTCAAATCTGTCACCTATTGATGTCTAACTGCAATGCTCTATTTATCTACAAGAAAAACTTAGTCAATAACTATTTCTATCTGTAGTCAATAGTATGCATGAAATTTTATTAACCCAGATCAGAATTTACTTTGTATTTGGAGTAGCAAAATAATATCCACCTGCTGAAAACATACTATACAATGTGTCTATATTAACAGCTTCACAAAAATATTCAAATATATATTGAGAAATTAAAATAATAAAAATCATCTAAACATAATTATATAGTGTAGAATATAAAGAATAAATGAAGTTCGACAGTAGTGCCTCACACCTTATTTCTAACTACTCGTAAGGCTGAGACCTGAGGATCTTGTTTTCACGGCAGCCTGGGCAGGGATGGCTGTGAGTCTCTTATCAACATGTAACAAACAAAGAATGCCAGAAGTAGAGGAGGCTCATCTGCTAGAGCATTAGTCTTCAGCAAAAATGTTCAGGAACAGCTCACAAGCCCTAATATTCCAGGACCAGGATGAAAGTAAGAAAGATAAATATATCAGTGACATATAAAATGAAGCCATGGATCTTCTATAGCACAAAAGAGAGTAATTCCTAACCTGGGATCTTTGCTCTCAATAGTGGGCAGCAGCCTCTAGCTACAGTTGTCATACTAGCACTTAAAAACCTGTGCCAGTGAGGGAGATAATTACTTTTTTTTTTGCAAAAGGAATCACATAGTTTGCTAGAATTTCTTTGAAGTTCTGTGCAGTCATTTTTCTTTCTTTTCTTTTTTTTTCAGTATAGCCACTTTTAGTGAGAGACAGTGTTATAGACAATACTTCAAGAATATGCATGTGCACAAATAAAGAACTCATCTTGTGCAGGTAAATTGCCCCCAAGGAGTCTTTCATAACACTGAGTTTCCTGGTAACACGTGGGTTGTGGAGCCTATCTGACATGAAACAATGACACAAGACTTAATTTGGAACAGTAACTGCTGGTGTACACTCAGAAAGTGTATGTTTGTGTGTGTGTGTGTGTGTGCAAAGTGCACGTGTGCACACCAGGCACTGTTCTTTAGCTTATTGGCTTAAGGCTAACACACTGTCACTTGAGCTACATCATCATTTCCAGCATTTGGCTGGTTAATTGAAGAAAAAGGTTTCATAGATTTTCATGCCCGGGTTGGCTCCAAACCTCCATACTCAAATATCAGCCCCATGACTAGTTAGGATTACATGCATGAGCCCCCATAAGAAATTTTATAAACATTCAGAAAATATTCGTGTGACTAAAGAAAAGTTAGACTTCTGGTATAGGGGATAAAGAAATGAAGTGGCAGCCTTTTACTACAGAACTCATGACAGTGACTCGGGTTAATTGTAGTAACATCACTTCATTTCCCACAGTACCAGCTGAAATGGGGGAGATACAGGCATGCTGCAGAAAAGTAAAGAACTTAAAGACCTGTAAAGGTGAAACTACATGGAAGGAAATAGTGTCCTCTCCTGCTGGCTGGAAGAAAATCACTCAACAGTACATGTAAGACAAAATAATGAAACTGAGCTGCTCCTGGATCAATAGGGATGGAGTTCAGTGTAGATGAGACAGAGATCGTGATGCGTGCACACAGAGTTTCCCCACCTATTGAACGTCCTCAGAATAAACAGTAATGGAAGTTAAGTATTGAATTACTTACATCTTGTTCTCTTCTTGCTTGGAAGCATGGCTGTTACTGTGATCTATTCCCAAAGTGTAGAGAGGGAAAAACCCAGTGATCATCAAATCTCCATCCATGTGTGCTCGGTGCTTCATTGTAGAAAAGCAGCTAGTGCCACCCAAGGACCTGACAGTGAGTGGAAGATGGAGAAGGAGGAGTGTGAAAGCGAAAGGGCACATCCTTGAAGCATGTGCCAAACAGAAATCCTGGCAGGAAGTGAGGCCCAATTTGAGCTATGTATATTTGTATATCTTTGTATATGGGCATATGTGCTTTTTATTGACAGAGATCGACATTATCGCTCACCCCTAATCAAAGACACTTGTGAGTTCCCAGAAGTAATGTGTAAGACTATTCCCAGGGGCTTTGCATTTGTAGCCTTGCCTCAGGAAGAAAAACATGAGTTAGAAAACATATTTTCAGATTTGCTTTCTTCACCCCAGGTGCTGTGATTTCATCCAAGACCACAGATAGTGAAGCCCCAAAGATGGAGTTATGTTGGTTGGAGTTTAGCAAAAGTCTGTGTCTAGAAACTCTTTGCATGAAACTTATTTGAGATGATGCAACTGGATTACATGAGATGATGCCATGTCATATGAATGGTGAAATGACCAGAAAAAGTCTATGCCTCTGAGTTGTCAACTAAAGTTATGAGGACCTCGTACACAGAGGGTCAATTCATACACACCATATCCAGGCAAACATCTCTCTCTGCAAATGATATCTCATGTTTCAACACCATAAAGATGACAGCAGAAGTCTTTACACCAACACAAACTCACTGATGAAGAAAGATACTCCTGTAACAATCCATTTGCCACAGTATCAAAAGATGTCTAAGGGAAATTCTACCTAAGGCATCAAAGTTGTCTATCAATCTTGAAAATCAGAGGATGCAGAAGAAAGTATCAGAGAAGAGAAGAGAACAGGACGTACCTCCCATTTTATGGATGATCATGAATATTGTTGAAATGCCCAACAAAGAAACTCACAGATTCGTTTTCTTCAAAATTCCAATGTTGTCCTTGAAAAAAAAATCTCTTAAAATTCATTTGGATTCACACAATGAAAGAACAAAACCATGAGAAAAAAGCACCCTGCTGGAAACATGGTAGACCTGATTACAAACTATATTACAACCACTGAAACAAAGTCACATTGACCATGGTGCCAAGAATAACTGGGAACCGGTAAACATAACAGATGATCCAGAAAATTCCCACATAGCTACAGTCAACTGATTGTTTACAATATGGTGAATTATATACAGTGGACACAAGATTGCTTCTGTAACAAATTTTGTTCATAAAGCTATATTGCCACTTGTTGAATATTGGAAATGGTTTCCTGTCATTCCATCAGAGTCTTCAACTTAAGAGCTTCAAGCATGAAACTACACATAGATAAATAAGGGAAACACTTGAAGCAATAGACAGGAGTAATGCTGGATATTGACTCATATGCCTTTCATTCCAACTATGGCACAAGCATCAATAGAAAGACTATAACCCAAGCATGGGCATATAGAAAAGCAAGATGCTATCACAAAAATACTCAGTACAAAGAAGGGCTGGAGATATGGCTCATTATACAGTACCTGCCTATCATGGTCCTCAAGAAAGCATTGACAATGTTGGGAGGAAGATGGCAGCAGAGAAGCTGGAGGCTAAACAAGCTTTCACATAGCAAGCAATTTTAGTGTTCCAGTGAAAAGTCCTAGGCTTGAGAGTCACACCAAGTGTGCCGTCATAATAGAGAGAGGTCAGAGAGGAAAAATTCAGGCAGTTTGGTTAAGGACAGTTCTGAGGGCTTGCTGGTGTCTGCAGCAGTGGCGGTGCCTGCTGCAGTGGTTGCCATATCAACAGAGAGAGCCCAGGACAAAGGCTCCAAAGCAGATTCTACTCAGCACCAGGAAGCACTGACAAGGAGCACAAATCTTCATCCTGCTGATTACAGAGACTGGCAGACCATTAACGGCCCAAAAACTAAGGGATTGGGGATTGGTGTGAGTACCCAAGGCATCCTCACTTCTTCTCACAGAGCAGTGGTGGGAGATATCCCCCTCCCACCACTGGTGAAGAACTCCATCTTTGATACTGAAAAAGGCCCGGTTAGAGCAGCTAGTTCCAAACTCAGGCCTTGGAAGAAGACAAAAGGAGCCATTCAACAGGTCACAGGAACCTAAGCTGCCTGGCTCAGCTCCATCCAGTGGGCAGTTTCCCTTCCCAGACATAGGAATCTCAGCGCCCTGAAAACTGACTTTCTTCACTGGGTAAACAGAGCCAGAGGCTGCCCCACCCTCTTGCAGCCTAGGCAGCAGACCCAGAACCAGGAGAGGTAAAAGAAAAAAAGACAACATGGGAGGAATCTTGATGCCGGACTTCAAACTCTAGTATAGAGCCATAACATCAAAGACAGCCTGGTACTGGCACTAAAACAGACCTGAAGATCAATGGAATAGAATAGAAAATCCAGAAATAAAACCACATGCCTACAGTCAGCTGATATTTGACAAACTAGCCAAAGACCTACAGTGGAAGAAGCACCGCCTCTTCAACTACTGGTGCTGGGCAGCCACACACAGAAAAATAAAAGTGGATACCATCCTGTCACCATGTACTAACATCAACTCAAAATGGATTAAAGACCTTAACATCAAACCTGAAACTCTGAAACTACTGCAGGACAGAGTAGGAGAGACACTTGAACTTATAGGCACAGGCAGGAACTTCACAAGAAATTGGAGAGAGTCTCAACAAATGGGATCACCTTAAAATAAAAAGTTTCTGCACAGCTAAAGTCATAGCAAACAAGGTAGAAAGACAACAAACTAACTTGGAAAAATATTTACCAGCAATATATCAGACAAGGGGTTAATATCCAGTATATACAGGGAACTCAAGAAACTAATCCCTCCCAAACCCAACAAACCAATTCCTAAATGGGCAAGGGAACTAAAGAGAGACTTCTCAGAAGAAGAGATAGAAATGGCAAAGAAACACATGAGGAAATGTTCACCATCCCTGGTGGTGAAGGAAATGCAAATAAAGACAACCCTGAGATACCACCTTACCCCAGTCAGAATGGCCCACATCCTAAAGTCAACCAATGACAAATGCTGGAGGGGATGGGGAGAAAAAGAAACACTATTACACTCCTGGTGGGAATGTACACTAATACAACCACTTTGCAAAGTAGTCTGGAGGGTCCTCAGAAAGCTAAATATTGACCTCCCCTAGACCCAGCCATACCACACCTAAGCATCTCTCTTGAACAACAGGAACCAGGATACAAGGACACATGCACCTCCATGTTTATTGCAGCACTGTTCACAATAGCCAGAATATGGAAACAACCCAGATGCCCCAACACAGATGAATGAATAAAAATATTGTGGTATCTATACACAATGGAATATATGCAGCCATTAGAAATGACAAAATAAATGGCATTTGCAGGGAAATGGATGGAACTAGGAGAAATCATGTTGAGTGAGGTAATCCAAGAGCAAGGAGACAAAAGGCACATGGCCTACCTGATAAGTGAATGTTAAATCCAAAATGTAAGATGATACAACAAGGTTAACAAGACTTGAGAAACAAAGAACCTCCACTCATCTGGTCATGTCACTACTAAGTAACCCTATGTTGCTGATCACATATATGGGTATATATGTGCACTGGAGGGAAACTAGGAGGAGAACTAGAGGGGTTCCAGGGAAAATATACAACAGTGGGACCCATCAGCTGCACTGGACATTGATCATATCGAACTAAACAACTCAATGACAGTGATGGGAGGGGGGGAACGAGTGGGAAAGAGGAAACAGCTGACACTATGCAAAAGTATAGAAATATACAAATCACCCGATGTGGAAGAAATAACTATTATCAAAGCTCATAGAACTCATAAATTTCATAGACCATGATAGACAATTTGCCCCCTGAAAGTTAGAATATGTTGTGACTTTAACTAAGCATCACTATCCCACAATACTGTGAAATTTGGGAAATTATGTAATCACTTAATCACAATAAAGAATTTGCAAAAAAAAAAAGAGAGAAAGAGAAAAAAATTGAAAGTCAATAAACATAAACTCTGAGAATGGCTCCAGGCTGGGCTCTGTGTCTCAGGAGATCATCCCTCAGGGAAAAGCCACTGATTACTGATAGTCTTCAACCTTACCCATAACTTTGTCTCATCATAGCAACTCCAAGTTAGAGGAAACAGCCATCTCCCCCTGTTGTGATACTGTAAGCAGATCTCCCTCCCACTGAAGTAGACTGGGAGGAGGATCATAAAGTCCTGGATACACCAGAGCTTCTGTCTGACTGATCAAACAAACTGACTTAAGAAACCAGTCAAGCCACAGGAAAACCAAACACCACAAGCAAACCAGAAACTCTACCAAGAGACTGGTTACAGACACAGGAGAGATACAAGACTGCCGCTTACCTGCTCTGTCGGGACGTGGGAGGACACCTAGTGGAGGAACTGGAATAGGTGGGGAGATGGCAAACAGACAACTCACACACACGAGGAGTGAATGCTGAGTGTGATTTATTGCAGAGGATAACAAGCTTTTATAGCAAAAGTCTCCATGAGAAAGGGCAAAAGGTTACACAATCTTGCTGCAAAGCTTCGTTCTTGGGTGGTCACCAGCTGGTCTCCTGATCTTGTTTTTTTGGATGACGAGTTATGACGATAGGCACTTGTTTTCAGCTTTACCTCTATTTTTAAGAAATACAATTGGTTTCGATGTTTATCACCTATTAACCATTAACCAGGGCATATGGGCAAGGTGCTGAACAGAAAGGCATGAACTCTAGTACTTCATAGTTACTTTTGTTTAGTTTTGTACTTTATACATTTCAAATCTTTTCTAAGCAATTGTGCTTCTTTGCCATTCTTTAGAGGGTCTTTTCTGTAACCCGTTCACATAATCATTTACTCTTCTCCATAGAAGCCTTAAATGTCTCATAAGATCTTTCTTGTTCCTTCTTTGATAGTAAGCACCAAGGAGGCCTAGACCTATCAAGTCTCTCAGTAAATGGAAGAGAGTAATAGGAAATTCTTTCTCCTAAGTAGTTTACCCAACGGTTGCCATCCTTATCATACACACCTGTAAAAGGCTATGGATCTGGGGGAAGTCTTTGGGGTTCTCTAGATAATGGAGGAT